CCATTTTGAACAAGCTCCCGGAAGAACTGCAGGATGTTTGACTCGGGCCAAGAATGCTAAAATGGCCAGCTTGCTGTGTATTCTGTGCACAAGGGTGAATGATCCTAAATTTTGTCAGAAGCAGAAATCACTAGGGTTTTTTAAAAAATACTGATGCCTGGCTCCCACCCCCAGACATTAGGATTCAATAGATGTCTGATGAAACCTGGGCATCAGGAGTTTTTAAAGCTCTCCAGACCGTTCTAATATGCAGCAAAGTTTAGGAACCACTGCACTAGAGCATATCTATTAACTCCTCCAGCTTCACCTGCAGACGGCCTCGAATCTATTCGTTCAGGGCAAATGTAATTCTGGGCCACCTAGACGGGTAAGCACTTAAAAGCACTGATTTGGGCTATGTTATTTCCTGTGTGTCATGTGTAGAAGGCAGTGAACTACCAAATGGGATACTAATGTGGGGCCAGGGATATGGCTGAATAGAGATGTTTTTCCCATATCAGAAAAAGAGAGGAGGTTCTATCTCTCTGTTCAGTATTACTCCCCCAGAAACTGATTTTACTCAACCAAATCCTATTTCAAGCTTTTCAAACTCTGGGCTGTAACTCATTATTGGGTTCTTAAATCATCTCAATGGCTTGCTAGCAGCATTTTTAATGGAATGGAATAGAATAGAACAGAGACGAACACTAAATATTAAAGAGCACATTATGTGAAAGAACCAATAATTGTTTGGGGAACCATACATATCTTACCGTGGTTCATGGGGAAAAAAAATAAAAATTAAAAAAAAAAAATTCTGACATTCTGGCCAGGACAGTGGTTTCACAATGTGATTCCATCTCTCTCCCTCAATCTCATTTTACCTCCCTTTGATTTTCCCAGTTGACAAGGATTTCTAAACCCTTACCATTGAGTTTAAAGGAGAGCTATAGTTGAATCCGATGGCTTCATTCCATTCATTTAGAAAGTACAGTACAGAGATGAAAATGAGCCAGGCACGTTGCAATCTTCCTGAAAAAGCCATCTCCCTGGGAAGGGCTCAGATGCTGAACGCACAACTTTCTCTTACAGAAAGAACTGGCAACAAACCCATTCTGCCTCCAAGTTTTGAGATGCAGTGCTTTTAGCTCTTCTGCTAATAGCGGCTCATTTGCACACTCTGCTTTAACAGCTAAAGACACCTGCCTTGGCTTCAGCTGAGGCAAAATAGACCAACCATACAGCAGGCAAAATCCGTAAAGACTGGCATATTATCAGTGGACACAATTAGGCCTTTGGCTTGAGGGCTGTAACATTTTGCCTTAAAGTAGCAGGTCTCACTTACTCCATCAAACCACAGTTCAAGTCGCAAGTAAACACTGTGTGCGTGTGTGTGCGTGTGCGTGTGCGTGTGCGTGTGTGTGTGTGTGTGTGTGTGTGTGTGTTACCCTGGTTTGAAATATTAAGGAGGTTTCCTGGGATAAGCAGTATGGAAATTGCTGAACAGAGCTGGACTGGCCAGAAAGCCAGAAGGAAAAGAGAGCAAGGAAGTTCTGGGCAGATACAACAGCAAGATGAAATAGTAACGCCAGGGGTGTGGACAGGGCCCGAGGGAGCATGGCATGAAGACTGACATATCAAGGTCATGGGGTTGTGTGAGGACCGGCCAGTTAACAGTGCTACCAAACTGTGGCGAATCAGTGCCTGTGGTTCACATAGTCCTAGAGATGAGGATTATGACCACATTCTGAAAAAGATCACTGGCCTGTGGTGATAATGACCTGACGTGCTGATGAGGATAACCTTGCATTTCATAATAAATGTTCTTTCAATTGATTTAACCAACAATCTATAGATTTCCTTTTAATTGCCCGATACCTTGATTTTCAAAGAGAGGGTTTACGTTAGATGAGATGTGTGACCGTGCAGGGAATAACAAAAATCACCCTGCCTGTGCACTCTTGCAGGACGCGTCAGTGTCTCGCCATTCATCTTTGGTATTCATCATCGTCATTAGTGTCTTGTCATTCATCTTTCACGGAGCCTAGCAAAGCACTCAGTACGTTTGGGCTAAAAATTAAAAACCACCAGCTTTCCTTGCTCTACATGTCCCCTCCCAATTGGTGGATGTGCTGTATGGGGGAGGACCTAACTCTGGCTTTAGTGCACGCGCTGAATAAACCCTCACTCGGCATATTGCATTCTGCTAGCCAAAAAAAGAACTCACCAGCACAATTTGATCCATACTCCTGAATAAAAAATAACCAGAGGTAAAGTTATTCTTGGGTCAAATGACAGCGATTGCAGCCAGGATATAAATGGGGTAATTTTTGAAAATTGCAGTAGAAATCCCAAGAATAAAACTGCTAGACAATTGACATGAAATCTCCAAGAACAGGCTTCTAGGTAAAGGGTGACCCGTTGCCTCAAATCTTTAAGCACAGAGCCGGGACAGGTCAAGTTTATTAACTTCTCGTAATAAGGTTTACTCATGCTCTGCAAGTCTTTAAAAAGAAAAAAAAAAAAAGCAGATTATCTGGATCATGCAAAAACTTGAGACGCACTGAGAAATGAGAAGAGAGTGATCAGGCTCATTGTTATTTTTGACATCCGGAGAAAGTCCAATTCCTCAGGGATGGGCAGAACCACCACCCCCCCTTCTAGGCTAACATAAATAACCTGAGTATTATCTAAAACGAGTCTCATGTTGGTAAATATTGGCTTTGTAGTTGATACTCTGTTTACTTCAAATACTGAACAAATAGGATCTTCATTCGATTGGGCAGTGATTTTCAAATATCGCTGTGTGCTAGAATTTCCAGCAGAGCTTGGTACATGTGTGACTGCCTGTATCCAATTCCATTAAGTCAATCAGGAAAATTTTACATGGATGCTGATGCCCGGATTCACTGTAGACCAATAGAATCAGAATCTCCAGGGATAAGGCCAAGACATTGGTATTTGCTAAAAGTACCCACATGAGACTCTAGGGTGAAGACCTGGGTTGAGAACTTCAGCACTACTGAGTCCGATTTAGTAGGAAAGGGTGGAGCCTCACCCTCTCCACGTGTAATAGATGTCACAAGTGACTCAGGTACCCATGATCTGTGGACCTTATTCTCAAAAACACTGACCTAGACCTAGGTATTTCCAAAGCTCCATGAACCAGAGCACATCTCACTTCTCCTTTGACTTCTTTCTGTTATAGTAACACCTCTGAAATAAAACTACATGGTAAAGAGGGCGGATTAGTTGAAGCGGGATAATCAGATTCATAGATTGATTACAGATCATTAAAGATATTAACTGTGCTACACTGGGGCAAAAGTGATTTTCATCTGAATGTGTTAGAATTTCATAAGCAAATGATTACATTCCTCCTGAGACAAAAGTAACTCAAAATCAATGTCTAGCAAAACTCAGTTTTTGAAAACAGCATTAGTTCAGAAAACATTATTTGTACTAAATCATAATTAACATTGAAAAGTCCACTTAAAAAGTCAAAGGAGTAAGTACAAGGATAGTCATGGCATCATTGTTTTTGATAACAAAAAAATGTAAACAATGTAAAGGTCTACTCAAAAGAGGACTAGTTAAAATATCGTATAGAATTAACTAGAATGCAGCCATCCAAAACAATGATGCCACTCTCTATACATTAACAACAACAACAAAAAAGATCTCCAAGATATAAACAAAAAATAGAAGCAAATGGCAGATATGCATGTAGTAGAAAGCCATTCGTGTTCTTAAAAATTAAGCCTGTATAACTGGAAAGATACACAATAAATTCATTGTAGTGGTTCCTTCAGAGAGGGAAACTGTGTGGCTGGGAAAATGAGACTTACTTTTCCTATTAATATTCTTTTGGCCCTTTTGGATTTCTGTACCATTTGAGTGATTCAATCAAATTTTTTTAAAAAAATAAAAAGTCAAGTGCAAACTGTAAGCTTTTAAAGTATATATTTGTATGAATGAACCCTGGCACATAGTAGATATTCAGTAAATGTTTATTTCTTAAATAAACCTACTTAATTTCTCCTCTCAACTTTTTCAAATCTCTTCTTTCCTTGGTGTGCAGGTTGAAGGTGGGGTGGATAGCTAAAATTTCATAATATATTATGCCTTTGCACGTATCGAGTGCTAAGTATGTGCTAAGCATTATGCTAAGCTCTCGACATGTTTCCATCAACTCAGGTAATTCTACAACATCCCTGGGAAGTAGATATTATCATCTTCCTTTGGCACTTGGGAAAACTGAGGCTCAGAAAGGTCACTGGGACTCAGGCAAACTGTGTTATACACACACATAAATAAAGATTATAAAAATTATACTTTTAAGGTATATGCAAACCGCTGTGGGGACTATGAAGACAGTATGCTCTTGGCCCTTCCAATGGGTCTTGGCAGGCAAAACCTTTATGTATGGCATTACTAAAATATAAGGCAACAGAGAGCACTGTGTGGGGAGCTTTGAAGGGGAGAAATTCCCGGGGAAGTAGAAGATAGAAATCAAGGAAGGCTTCACAGAAGGGGTCCTGGTTGATCAGGACTGTGCAAGGAGTGAGCAGTCAGGAGGAAAAATATGTGATTCACGGGTTCCATGCTATACTAAGTGAGTTGTATGTGGTAACACCTTTTACTTTTTTAATCCTAACATTTCTAAGTATCCTTGTTCCCAATTTTAGATGAATAAACCAAAACCTAGAGAAGAAACTTTCCCCAGATGTTCTAGTCCACATTTAATGTCACCTTACTTTCTACTGGCCATCTCTATGAGGGATTGCCAACATGTCTTGCCTTATGTATTACTGATATAAAACTTGTGTGTGTGCACTCGCACAAACGCATTCCTTATCTCTAATACAAGCATGAACTACTTGAGGCAAGAACCATCATTTTATATATTTTTAATATTCCCCTCATTGTATGCTCACATACTAAGCATGAAAGTATTTATGGTAATGTATTAGTACTAAGCTAATTCTGTAAAATTGAGCTATCTTTATTTTGTGCTAAAGGTTTTATGACGGCAGATGAAAGAAAATTATTTGACCACCTCAAATCTCCTCATCTGAAATATTGGGTTCCATTCATCTGGTTTGGAAATCTTGCAGCTAAAGCCCGGAAGGAAGGTAGAATCAGAGACAGTGTTGATCTGCAATCACTGATGACTGTAAGTGCGTCACAAACCACCCATAAGAGATGCTAATCAGAGACCAACAGGGACCTGGATGTAGCAGGTCAGACCAGGATGTGTCTGCTTTGTTCATGCCTGGTTCCAAAGGAACCAGAAAAACTGGGCTAGTATTAGAACCCTTAACATGCAGGACAGGGGTAGTAGTAGTATACAGGTTTTGACTCAGGTTGATTGGGAGTGGTTTCTTAGAAATTCTGTCTAAACAGAATTTGGCTTTGTCATGGGCTCTGTAAGAAAGTGTCCCTTAATTGATTAGCAACAGCTGTCAAGGGCTCTGAATGACCTGGTGTCCACATGGCATATTTATCATCCCCCAGGATCCTAGAGTAAAATCTGGAGTAGAAATAAACCTGCCCAATCAGTTCCCCCAAACTAGAAGTTCCTGAGGTTAAGCCAACTTGTCAGATGCTCCAGGAAACAAAATTATGTTTTCATTAAACGAAATAACCCTGAATTCATCTGAGAAACAGATTTATGGAAGGGCTAGATAGATATGCCCTATGACAGTCTCCTGCCTTTATTAGGCCAAAAGGAGTGAATGATATAAAAATAGCTCCCAAATTAACATAACTCTTTTTCCCAGGCTTATATAGTAATTTATGTGTGATAAAGGAGAAATCAGTAGATTCAAGTCCTTTCCATTCCAGACAGATATTTTCTGCCAATATAAGTGTGCGAAAGTCTTCATTTGTGGGGGAGAAAGGTTTAGGAAGTACTTTTTTTCCCCAAACTCTACAGCAAGCATGTTTCCAAAAGAAGTAGAGAAACAAACAAACAAACAAATCTGCTCTCCACATAAATTTACCAAAATGGATAGAAATTACTTATTTAAAATACTAACCCCTGCCTTCCCATCAACACTTTGGACCAATATACATGTTGCAAATCATGGATTCAATAGAGTAGGCGATAGTTCTATAAAGTCCTGATTTATTTTAATATTTTTTTAAAAATATCCATCAGTCTCCATCCTTTTTGCACTGTTGAATGGCGTTGATTGTCATTTTCAGGATTTTCCTTTGGGAATAGCCTTCAGAACCAATTACCAGCCTTACAAAGTCAGCCTTGTCCTTCTACAGACATGTTCATAAAAGACATGGCCACGTTATGAATCCCAGGAAATATTTATTGCCACACGCATCATTTAGCAAACCATGTTTTATCTGTTTCTGGCTTAGGAAATGAACAGATACCGCTCTTGGTGCAGCCTCTTATTTGGTTATGACTGGGTTGGGATTCCGCTGGTTTACACCCAGGTATAAAATACTTTGCACGTGTGTTGTTTGTTCCCCCCTCCCACCCCAAGTTAGTTAGTTAGTTATTTTCAAAGAGATAGAGAGAGTGCAAGTGGGGAAGGGCAGAGAGAGAGAGAGAGAGGGAGAGAGAGAATCCCAAACAGGCTCTGTACTGTCAGTGCAGAGCCCAATGCGGGGCTTGAACTCACGAACCATGAGATCATGACCTGAGCTGAAACCAAGAATTGGATGCTTAATCGACTGAGCCACCCAGGTGCCCCTGCATGTGGTTTTTAGCTACTTGCCCACTTAGGCACTCTGGCCTGCTGTGGGGGTCCAGCGCTGTGTTCTCACTCAGACTTCTCTCTGTTGCAGGTTGTCACTCTGGCTGTCTACACCTTCTTCTTTGCCTGCCTGATTGGACGCCAGTTTTTGGATCCCACCAAAGGCTACGTGGGGCATGACTTAGATCTTTACATTCCAATCTTCACTCTCCTACAGTTCTTCTTCTATGCAGGATGGCTCAAGGTAGCCCACCGTCTCTGTGCCTGAGACCTGCTCTGTAATCTGTCGTGTTCTGTCCTTTGCACCCTGGTCCTTTACTGAGTCACTCGCTCATGAGCGAGTCAAAGGTAGATTTAAGATTTAATCACTCAGAGATGTTATTACTTGTAAACTAGGGATTCAAGTGATGTGGTGAGTACCATATTGCAGCAATCTAAGCAAAGACGTTGCAGTAATACTCTTTTACGGCCAGTAATTTAAGTCTTTGTGTGCTCCCATTAGGATTATAATAATGTAATTAAAGTAATAACTGTGACTTCACTGATATTTTATGCCACAATAAGCAAGTAGGCAGAGTAAAAGAGAGTAAATAAGAAGCCTTGTGTATCAGAGTTAAGTATTCGTATTATATTATTATCTTGGTTCTGTTCAACTCTGTAAATAGTTAACTGTGATTCTCCGCAGTCCCACTAGCTGTCCCCCATTAAATGCATCCCATTTTCAAAACCAGAACCGAGACTCAGAAAATGATTCAACAGAATCAAAACCAGAAACACCAGGATTTGTGACGACATTTGGTTTGCCAGGAAATTAAAAACAGGTCAGAACAGTGAGGAGGACTTGTCCAGTCTTGGGTGCAGAATTGTATCTGCTCCAACCCCTGCCCCTCCCGGCACCCCTTACCCTTCCCTGGATGCACAGGTAAATACCAGAGACGGAGCCTGGTAGTGAATGGAACACACACACACACACACGCGCGCGCGCGCACACACACACACGCACACACACGCAGACACAAAGACAATGGCTAAATCAAGGTAAATGAAATCCAATGACAGTTTGAAGATGAATAAAATCGAATTTTCAAACTTTTGACCTTTTGGCCAGCCACATGTTGACATGCACCGTGGAGGCCTTCCAGGCGGTGGCAACATTTTCCCTGCCAGTGCCTTTACCTTCACTGGTTTGAATCTTAACCAGGAACAATAAATACGTTGACATTTCAAAAAGTAAAAGCATGTCCTTTATAAATGGCAAAACCATTTTCAACCAGGTGATGGTAATTCTTAATTATTTTTATGCATTTAAGACAGAGAAAGAGTAAGAGAGACTAATAGCTCTCCTCTCCCATTAGTGGAAAAAGTAGACTCTAGTTTTATAAACAATAAATCACTACAAATGGCCCAGGTGCCCAATCATTCTAGTCTTTTATTGCCCTTTCCCCTGAGTTGTGCTAAGCTTCTTATTCTTTGCTTTGTGTCTATGTGAGGTGTTCGACCAGCCTGTTAGGAACAGTTAGCAGTTCCTGCCTTGGGAAATGCCCTCTAAAATATTTTGGGGACGAGCACCAGGTATTGTATGTAAACGCTGAATCACGGGAATCTACTCCCAAACCGAAAAGCACAGTGTAGGTTAGCCAACTTGACAATAAATTATATTTAAAATTTTTTTTCAACGTTTATTTATTTTTGGGACAGAGAGAGACAGAGCATGAACGGGGGAGGGGCAGAGAGAGAGGGAGACACAGAATCAGAAACAGGCTCCAGGCTCTGAGCCATCAGCCCAGAGCCTGACGCGGGGCTCGAACTCACGGACCGCGAGATTGTGACCTGGCTGAAGTCGGACGCTTAACCGACTGCGCCACCCAGGCGCCCCTATATTTTAAAAAATAATAAATAAAATATTAACATTCCTTTCCTTTATAAAATATTTTTAAAGGCAAAATATGAAAATACCACATTAGCTCCTTTAAGAGATAGACAGTCCTAGGAGAAGTGTTTTCCCACTCAATGGATTATATCTCAATTTCTAAGCAGCTGTTTTATCTTGTCCATTCCAATATTTATAAATATTTTCAAAGTGTAAAAATCCCATCTTAACCTTATAAACAGTATATTAGTTACCTGCTGGAAATGAAGCCTCCAAAAGAGTAAAGGATATTTTTTGAGAAAATCAATTCTGAAACATAGGTATCATTTTGAAAGTTAAATGTAGACTCTCATACTATATGCAGGACTGATCCCATAAAAGTGAAATTCTGGTTATAACAAGAATATTTTCCAGGACTCTTCAGTGGCCCACTTAGGGAAAATCTCAGGCAAGGAAGGATAGACAGGCCCTGGAAAGGACCTTGACGTGGATGTCACTGTGAGGCTGACTGATTCTGGGCTCAGGCCCTGCCCAGTCTGGGGAACTGGGGCAACGTATCTCTCTAAGTTGACTGTTCTCAACTCCATCCACATACTAAAATCTCCTGGGAGTTTCACCAGGTGCTGATATCTCAGCTCAACCTCACACCCATTTAATTAGAATCTCTAAGGGAGGAACCCAGGCATCAAGCTTTTTTAAAGCCTTCCTGGTGACTTTGATCTTCATCCAAGGTTGAGAACAACTGCTCTAAGTGGTTAGTGGTTAGACTTAAGTCCTAAAAAATAAGTAGACAGAATTTCTACAAAACGGTCTCAGAACATAGAAATTCAACTAATCAATGGTGTCTTTATTTTATACACTTTTTTCCCATTTAGACCGAATGTAAAATCTCTCTCTCTCTCTCTCTCTCTCTCTCTCTCTCTCTCTCTCACACACACACACACACACACACACACACACACACACTAGATAATAAAAAGCAAGAGATTTAAAAAGAATAATAAAGGAGTCATATTTGACATATAAATCTCTTACCAAGAAGGCTATTCAATGCCAGAACATGGTTAAGATCATTTCATATTGACCAACTATTAGAAAATATACGGTAACACGCTGCCTCAACTTTTCATAGTGGGGAAAACTGACCCACCAGATAAAAGTAAATCCTTTAGAGTAAAACAAAGTGAGACAAATTCCAGCTTCATAACCCCCCAGCTCTCTGACTTTTCATTCAACAGTTGGATCCAATAATTGTGAAAACTCCTTGGCTTATTTTCTTTCATTGTGCTCTACATCTCTACTGTTTTCCCTTCCTCATGGTTACATTTTGTCTCATCGCTTGGGCCCTTGTAAGTTCCTTAAGCCCCCAGGCTACGGTGCCTTGCACCTTATCTGCGCTCCTTCGACATTCACGGGTTTGGTTTGTACCCGGACATCAATCATTTGGCTCCTACATGGCACCACTTCTCCTGAAGGGCCTGTGCTGTCACCAGCTGAACAGACAGGTCCGCTGGAGAGCAAACCCACGCAGGTGCCTCACTCGTGGTCTGAGAGTAGTGTCGCTTGCCGGTAAACATCGGCGTCTGTGGAGCCACCCACTCCCCTCTGGGCTTCATATTATGAAAGTGGCAAAGGGCATCACCTCCGTCACCTTTAGCTTGCATTCCTAGTTTTCATAAGCATCACAATGGACGTATTCTATGTTCTCCACGGCAGGTAGCTGAGCAGCTTATCAACCCTTTTGGAGAAGATGATGATGATTTCGAAACCAACTGGTGCATTGACAGAAATCTGCAGGTTAGAGGAGCTTTTCCTTCCTTTACAAACATGAATAATGAATCATTTGTGACGTTTCAGATCTGAACAGACTCTGACGGCAGGCCCCTGAACTTCAGAACTGCAGCCACAAAAGAAAGAGGTTTGGCTTTTCAGTATCTTGTCTCCGCTCCTTTTGGAACTTCACAGGTCCTGGGTCTCAGTTGCAGTGAAGTTTAGTCCCTTGTAAATAGAATTTATTTTTATTTTTATTTAAATCCAAGTTAGTTAATATATAGCGTAGTTTTGGAGAACTTAGTGTTTCGTCACTTACATACAACACCCAGTGCTCATCATAATAAGTGCCTTCCTTCATGCCCATCACCCATTTAGCCCCCCCCCCCCACTCACCTCCCCTCCAGCAACCCTCAGTTTGTTCTCCGTATTTAAGAGTCTCTTATGGTTTGCCTCCCTCTCTGTTTTTATCTTATTTTTCCTCCCCTTCCCCTAAGTAGAATTTCAAGCCAGTTTTCTTTGTAAGTTTATTAACTTTACACAGCCTCTTCCATCATACTGCAGAGCAATGTTTTAATTCATTCTTTAATCTGGTTTCTGTGGCCACCCAAGTGAGATTAGCAGGGACAGACAATGGCAGCCAGAAGTGATCTGGTGTGAGTTCCCAAATCCATGTCATGAAGTTCCCTGCAGTCAGATGTCCAAGCAGCTGGACACTGGAAACGTGGGCCATACCAGCCTATGTCTCAAATCTGACAAAACTAAACCTAATGGACCCCAGGACCCTTACCCCCAAAGCATTATTCCAGAGAGGTTTTTCTTAAAGAATCAGCATGAGAGAGTTTTCCTTCCAGCCAGGACTCTCCTCAGACCATTCTCTGTCCTCACAGATAAGGAAAGAACTTCAACCTGGCTACTTGCTTCAGGCCCTTGCTCAGTTCTTAAGTAGGTTCAAATGTTTCACTATGTTTCACTGTTGGTTCACAAACTGGCCGCATACCTAGAGGGCTGGGAGAGATGGAAGAAAGAAGCCACTCCAGACTGGTAGGTGGCAGGTCTAATAAGCAAGGGAACTGACCTACAAGGCTTGTTTGGGGCGGCCACAAGACAAGTAGATCTCCATGCCCACCTGCCAGAATTGTAAGTTTATACCAAGGCCTTAACTGGGTTCAGTCACACTTTCAGTCCAGATGGTCTCAATAATACACTGCTCTCTCAAGGCTGTGTCCTTGAAATGGCTCCACTGTGAGAACAGTGAGCAGAATGTACATTCCCATGACAGGGGAGGGGTGGGGGTAAAGGGCCTCCTGTAGCCTGGGTTCAGCTCTGAGGTCAGCAGAGGTTACATCCTCTCCATGACCTCCTCCAACAATCACATTGTCAATCTATCAAGGAGGAAGTATAATGGTTAGGACACTTGCCCTTTGTAAAGATCGGATTTGCAGGTTAATAATTTATTCATGCATTAGTTTGTCAAAGTCAAGGAGAGAGACCACTATATAGCCCCAACCAGGGGCACCTGGGTGGCTCAGTCAGTTGGGCGTCTGACTTCAGCTCAGGTCATGATCTCATAGTCCGTGAGTTCAAGTGCTGACAGCTCAGAGCCTGGAGCCTGCTTCGGATTCTGTGTCTCCCTCTCTCTCTGCTCCTCCCCTGCTCATGCTCTGTCTCTGTCTCAAAAATAAATAAATAAATAATTTAAAAAAATTTTTAATGTTTAAAATATATATATATATATATATATATATATATATATATCCCCCAACCAGTATAGACCTGCTGATATATGTATCCAAACAAACAAATAATCAGGGAACATAAGAAATGATATCAATTACAGGGTGCCAGGGTGGCTCAGTCGATTAAGAGTCCAACTCTTGATCTCAGCTCAGGTCTTGATCTCAGGGTTGTGAGTTCAAGCCCCATATTGGGCTCCACACTGGGCTTAAAGCCTACTTTAAAAAAAAAAAAAAAAAAAGAGGGCTCCTGTGTGGCTTAGTCGGTTAAGCATCTGACTTCAGCTCAGGTCATGATTGTGCGGTTTGTGGGTTCAAGCCCCTCTGGCTGTCAATGCAGAGCCCACTTTGGATCCTCTGTCTCCCTCTCTCTCTACTCCTCCCCCTCTCATGTTCTCTCTCTCAAAAATAAATAAACATTAAAAATGATTTTAAAAAGAAATGATATCAAGTATAAGTATGTTTATGGAATCAACGGAATGGGATATTAAGAATCTTCTCCTTCCTATGATATCTGGAATTACGAGATTGCTGTAAGGATAGCCACTAGACAATACGGTAACTTTGAACCAAGAAGGAAAAGGGGTCTCTCCTGCCTCCTAGTAAAATGTAGCTAGCTCCATTCTGGGCATGTGGCTTGATAAACCAAGTCTGGGCAGTTTTATAGCCCTACTTAACCCCCATTGCCAAGTGCCCTCACGCAATAAACATGTGCAAGTCTCTGCAACGGTCCTGGTTACAGCAAATATGAACAACGGACATTTGTGTATTTACTCTCTCAGACTGCTCCATCCTGCTGCAAATCCCATCCACCCATTGGAGCTTACTCTCTGTCTTTATACAATCCACATCCAAATTATTCTAACAATAAAACAATGATTTTAGGTCTCTCTTTTAGCTGTGGATGAAATGCACATGAGCTTACCCAAGATGAAGAAGGACATTTACTGGGATGATTCTGCTGCTCGACCACCTTATACACTGGCAGCCGCTGACTACTGCATACCCTCCTTTCTGGGGTCAACAGTCGAAATGGGGTGAGTGCATTTTTTTTAATCATCAATATTTAGAAAATAAGTTGGCCACTGTTCTGATTTTTTATGCTCTGGTCTTGAACTCACTTTCACGACAACTCTCAACTGGTAACATCTTATTTCAGATTTTCAGGTATAATTAATATGCCCGAGGAAGTTTGAGAGCAAAGAGACTATAGCTTCCGGTTTAAATGTGGTGTATGCGTACATGCAGGCATGTGTATTTGGGGGTAATTTGCATTTCACCTTGTTTTTATGCCACAGAAAACTTTTCCAATAGTTGTGAAATTATCCTCTTTTTTCCTTCCGATTTGAAAAGTAGTTTATTCAATTATATAATCATTTATTACTTAAGACGTTCATAACTGATTGTATTTCCAACAAGTGTTTATAAGGCATATACCACATGCAGGCACTGTGTTAGACTACTTGCAGACAAGCAAATCCTAAGGAATGAGATAAGTTTTCTCTAAGATTTTAATTCAACTATGTTTAGTAGACAAGTCAGTCTCTGTTCTGTGGTTTTAACATAACAATCTGTCCCTATGTACTTAGCTTTAAATAAATGGGCTGAGGCCTGAAGTAACTCATGCACACTTCTCGAATAATTTTATTAAATCTGATAATGTATTTGATTTTGGAGAAATGTGTGAATGTGGGGGAAGTTTAAGTATTTTTGCTCAAGGCAGCTGCCACAGTTTCCAAGTAACTTAAAGAGAAGACTGTGGACAAATTTAGAAAAATAAGGAGAACCCCCTTAAAAAAGAGGAAAACTTTTGCAGGATTTTTCTTACAACTTGTGACAAAACTGTGGTTTGCTGTTGAGACCAGCTCTCGGCAGATTTGTGAGGCAAGTTCACGTCCTGTAGTTGCTACCTGGGACCTTCTTTCCTCTCTCCCACGGTGTTCAGCCCTCCTGTTTCCCAACCACGAGGATATCCAGCTTCAGCCCTATTCCCACAAGGCTTCACTCTTGGCTGAATGTCTCTTAATCCTAACAGGTCTTCAAGACCCAAAGGAAAAGATGACCAAGTAGAATTTCAGGAGTGGGGTCAAATGATGAGATGATTTAGGAGCCAGGAGATTTGCCTGTTGTCTTCAAAGCATACCTGATAGAAGGTTGCACACCCCAGGCTAGGCTTGCCTTGGCTTCCAGATGGCCCGACAAGCCTGGATTCTCCTGTGCGCATCCCAACCCCAGCTGGTTGCTCAGTCTCCACAAAGAGCAATTCACTGTTGTTCGCCCTTCTCGGCAGTTTGTGGTGGCAGTTTCATGGGTTTTGAAATCCTTCTCAATTTTAAAAATTAATAGATGCTTTTCTGTGGATTTGTTCTTGGATAACTCAACAGGCTTTAACCTTTCTCTCCCTTCCCATCACTGATTAATGCACAGAACTGAAGGTCTAATTTGTAAGAGAAAAGAGACTAGCACATTTGATAGGGCTGGAGAATCATTGTGGTATCACTGTTGGGACTGTAAGTGCCCTTGTGCTCCATATCTATCATCCAGTTAGTTGTTTTTGCAGGATGGTTACAATGACAGTTTTTGTTTGGTCTCAAGATTTTCATTTTGGTCTACATATTCATCCCAAGCATCATAATATTACATTCTTCTGTGTCCATGTTCTTTAGAAATTATTAAAGTATCTATTTCTATTTCTAAATATAGAGACACAGAATTAGGGATTTATAAGACCTTGAAGAAAATATCTACCCCAAACAATTATTGAGAATATTAAATGAGATTGGAAACATCAAAACACTCTAGATGTAACCATAGAGCATTGTTAATATTGACTCATGTAAGTACCCTGTTTGTGGATGTCAAAATGATTAAAGATTAAAGAAAGATTAAACAAATCTAAGCCATTTTTCATATTAAGCTAGCACTGGAAATTTGGAACAGAGAAAAAATTCTTGAGAGAAAACTGGGAGATGTGATATTTAAGAATGCAGCAAAAAGTTTTTAGTTATCAGAGAGAATTGAATTCCTCTAATTAAGACAGCCTATTTACTAGCATGATGGGAATGGCCACAGGCAAAGGCCAGAGTCTATTAGGGGAGGTTTCTGGGAGGCATTTAATTGGACTCTGGAACCAAATGATCAAAGAAACAATTAGGCAAAAGTTCACTTGATCTTGATTTTCTGCATGAATGAGGACCATTCAAAGGGAACCTCACAGTCCAGGAAAAGTCGCTACAGGAATGCAGGCTTTTGGAGTATTCACAGAAATGCCCACTGTTGATTCTTTCCAGGACTGTGCTGTTACACAAGTTGTTTCTGCTCACCTGTGTTGGAAAACCAACTCCAGCTAACTTAAGCAAAAAGGGATTTCTTGGGTCACATCTGGAGACTAGCCTAGCTTTGGGTGTGGCTAATTTCAGAGGCTCAAAATATGTCACCGGGACTCACTATTGCCCTCTCTATCTCTTCAGTTCAGCTTTTCTCTCTACTGGCTCAGGTTTCAGACAGGCAAAACAGCAAGATGGCAGCCAGCAGCTTTACAAGCTATCCTCTCAGCAAATCCCGTGGAAAGAACATGACTTTTAAAACTAAAGTACTGAATTAACTGGCTGGGTTTGGCGAACGTGCCCATTCTTGAACAGGGAAGCACAATATTTTGATTAGCTGAGGCCTGTTCACATGTCCATCTTTGGACCAAGGGGCATGTGTCAGCCCCAAGCAACCATAGGGAGGAGGTGATGTCTTAAGAAAATTAGAACGGTACTACCAGGAATAGGTGAATGGTTTGCTAGGCTGAAAGCAATGATTGTCCTCTAAACTCCTAAAAGATCACTCCCTAAGAATTTCACTGTTCACTCACCAAATACAAAGTTAATATCAAGTGAGCCATCTGACGAAGGCTCAGGGGAAAAGGGAAGGTAAAAGTAAGGATTACTGTAGCACAGGTGATTTTGTTGATGATGACTGAGTCAATGAGCCCTGTGCATTAGGATAAAGACCGGGTGTCAAAGTAGTATGGATTCAAGTGGTTCAGAAAAGTGTTTGCTGCTTGATGAGCATATAAAATCCTTTCCTGGTCGAGTAAGTTTTTAATTTTCTTATTCTATTTATGATGTACGTTCCTAGCATATTTAATTCAGAAATCAAATTTCCCTTACCTTTTCACATCAATGTTTCAAGCTTATGATCACAATTCCCATGACCCAGAAATTCTAAAATCAAGGCAATGCCCTTCAATAACTGAACAAAAGTACTATCCAAGAGAAACCTGAGAAATTACTCTGCTTCCTATTTTCTTTTACATTCAGGGGACTACTCATTTCCACATAAAAAGGAAACTCCTTAGGAGGGCCTGAGTGGCTCAGTTGGTGAAGCATCCAACTTCTGCTCAGGTCAGGATCTTGTAGTTCACCAGTTTGAGCCCCCCTATCGGGCTCTCTGCTCTCAGTAAGAAGCCTACTGTCCCCCCAAATCTGCCCCTCCCCCACTCTGCCCCTCCCCCACAGCGCGCGGGCTCACATGCGTGCTCTCTCTCTCTCCCCCCCCCCCCACCATAGTAAATAAAAATTTAAAAGAAAAAAGAAAACTCCTTAGAGACGATTCCTCTGTTCTCTATATTCAGGGACATACTCAAAATATTGCCATATTTTCTACACATTTACCAAATGTACATTAGCGAAATAAAGTAAGATTTTCCCCATATTTTCATCTCAAATACAAATTTAAAATATCACGTTTTGCCTCGTATCTTCACATATGGAATGAACTCATCCATTTATTCAGGCAAATTTTCTTTCAGGGCCTGGTATACGATAGGTTCTATTTCAAATGCTAGGCATAGGCAAAAAAAACAAAAACAAAAACAAAACAAATACCTCTTCAGCTCACTGACACAAGGAGACATGTTCTGGTACCATGTGGTAAACCCAGCAATAGAGAAACGCTCAGTCTTATGGGAATAAAAGAAAGGTATGTTTCACCCAGCGTGGTGAATGAGAGACGGCTTCTTGGAGCTGAGGAGTCCAATGTGCATCTTTAAGACTAAATTAGGAGCTAGCACACAAATAGGAGGAGGAGATTCAGCAAAGGGTAAATTCCAAGCCAATATGCACAAACAGCAAGGAATGACAGTGTATTTAAAGTAACAGTTTTTTTTTTTTAATTTCAGCTTTATTGAAGTATAATTGACATAAAAATTATGAGGTATTTAAAGTATACATTGTGGTGATCTGCTGTTTTAATTAAGGTGTCTTTTCATCATCCTTACTGTTGGAGACACTATTAACCAAGATGAAGAGGTCACCCACAAGCAGAGGGAAGAGTTTTCTATAAGATGCGTGTGAAGAAAACACGCCCAAGCCCTGAAATGCAAATGACTCTTCTTTGGACAATAGCAAACACTTACACCTAACATACCAAACTTTACCAAAACAAACCTAGAATGTTTAAACTCAAGCCAGCATTGCTGAAAACAAATTTCTTTTTTTTTTTTTGTTTATTCATTTTGAGAGAGAAAAAGTACAGGTGGGAGGGGAGCAGAGAGAGAGACGGAGACAGAGAATCCCAAGCAGGCTCTGCACAAATTAGTGCAGCCTGACACAGGGCTCAAACCCACAAACCACGAGGTCATGACCTGAGCTGAAATCCAAAGTCGGATGCTTAACCGACTGAGCCACCCAGGTGCCCCAAATTTGTTTTTATTTTTATTTATTTATTTTTTTAAATTTTTTTTAACGTTTTACTTATTTTTGAGACAGGGAGAGACAGAGCATGAACGGGGGAGGGTCAGAGAGAGAGGGAGACACAGAATCTGAAACAGGCTCCAGGTTCCGAACAGTCAGCACAGAGCCCGACCCGGGGCTCCAACTCACAGACAGTGAGATCGTGACCTGAGCCGAAGTCGGACACTTAACCGACTGAGCCACCCAGGCGCCCCCCAAATTTGTTTTTAAAACAAAAAAAAAGTGGGACGCCTGGGTGGCCACAACGGTAAACCGTCAGGAATGGAACAAAAGCAAAAAAAAGGACATAATGGGTT